AACTGGGAGCCGCGCATCTCCCGGAAGTTCAGGCATCGCACGCGGTCTCCCGTCCTTCCAGCTCACCGGTGGAAATTCCGGCCGTCCAGTCTCACCACAACCCAGCAGTGCGGCAAGCAGGTATCGTCAGCCTCAAAATCCCGCACGTACTCAAACTTGCTCTTGGCCATGGTCACCCCCAACCTCAGGCACCGTCTTAAAGTAACGGAAGTAGCGGCCAAGCGACTGCGGATCTCAGCCAGCGCTGAAAGGCCACATTCCTCATGGGGAAGCACTGGACGGGCCCCACCCCGGAAGTTCCTGTCGCTGTCGGAGCCGCTCTAGCTACAGTGGAGGTTTCTCTCTCGACTCTCCGTCTTCAAGTCAGCAAGTTGCCAGGACTGTGTCCTCCAGGGCTGTGTCTCTACCCCCATCCTTCAACAAATCACTCTCACGAAGCCATCAAACGCTGTTTTGGGACCAAGTTTGAAAGTGTGGTTGTGACTTCTTTTGTCTCTTTGTAGCGTTTATAAATTCCTTGCAAAGACTGAAATACACCAAATTATCACTTTATAGCTCTGTGGGTAGGGCCTTCCAGATTCTTGTTGGTAAGTTTAAACAAGGAGCATAAAATAGAAATCAGTCTGCTGTACAAATTTTGTATTTTATCCCATTGACCTTGTTTTTTTTTTTTTTCCACTTTTGAATTACTGGTTGTTCCAAAGATGTGCGATTTAAACAAAGAAAGTGCCAGTGAGACAGCTCAGTCTATAAAGGTGTGATTACTTAAGTTTAGTCCCTGGGAAGCCACATGGAGTGACCTTTCCTCAGGCTCCCCAGCAGCCAATACCAGAGGCATGTTACCCTGCCATATGCCATCAGGTGAATTTAGACTTTGTACTCATCAGTATATAGTAATTTTGTATGTGTATGAGTTTGTGTGCGTCTGTGTTTATGTGCACGTGGAGGTCAGAGGTGGACATCAAGTGTCTTCCTCAATACCTCTCCCTCTTAATTTTTGAGACTGTCCCTCACTGATTCAGCTAGACTAGGTGGCCAGCAAGTTTTATGGAGCCACCTCCCCAGTCTTGAACTCATGAATCTTAAAAATGCATTTCCCAACTTTGCCCAGTGGCATAGATGAAATGGCACCCTGTAAGCAGTAGATATCAGTTCTTGATTGCCAGCACCACTCCTCATAAATTCCTACAAGAAATGACTGCCTCCAAGTTAGTTGTGTCAAGGGAAAACACAAAGTGAGACTGGGATCCATGTTGTGCCAGAAGGGAAAGAACTGCTCAGAGTAGTAGAGGATGTGACAAAAATGAATTTATATGGGGAGTGATTCCAGCAGGCAAATTAGAGATGATTTGAACATCAGTAAGAACTATGGTAATTGATTATGATACATGGAAAAGGTGAAAGCCCACAACACCATAACAATACCTAAACAACGAAAGCTTTGTTTGACAGTGTTGGGTAATTGTTATACTAGCCACTAACTTCTTACACTGCTAATTGGTGTTTTTTTTTTTAATTTTGGTTTGGTTTTTTGTTTGTTTGGCTTGGTATTTTGAGACAGGGTTTCTCTGTCTAACAGCTCTGGCTGTCCAGGAACTGGCTTTGTAGAACAGGGTGGCCTCAAACGCACAGAGATCCTCCTGCCTCTGCTTCCTGTGCTGGAATTAAAGGTGTGTGACAAACCACTGCCCGACCTGATACTTGGTTATTAAAAGGAACAGGAATTTGCTTTGTCTCTTAATATAGATTTGTAATTCAGTACCAGTTGATGAGGGGAAGTGCTTTACACAAGAATGTTGACTAGTTTCAAACATGGAGTGGTGGACTCAGAGAATCAGGTTGCTCTATGAAATAATTCAAGCATAGATCACTAATGGATACTAACTCTGTGATTTATGTAATTTGTGAAAAAAATGCCACATCCCCCAAATCTGTTGGTATTGTCTCACAAATTGTTTGCCTAGTCCCAAAATAGAAAAACACAGTCACAAGCAAGAGCACTTGCTACCTTCAACTAGTCACCAAGGTAGTGCCATTGGTTGTGCTAAAACTACAGCCACTGGAGATCCTTGTGAAGGCAACATGATAAACACACAAGGTTGGTTAGAGTTGACTGAAGTATTAAACGAATGGGTCACAATCTTCCCCACATCTTAAAATTAGAGGATGCTCTTGAAATTGCCAAGTTCCAGGCTTCTTACAGAACATTTTCAAATATGATCCAGGCAATAGTATGCTTTATTTCTTTTAAATAATTTCCTCTTTGCATCTTTTTAAAGAGGAAAAAAAAAACCAGATGAGGGTGTGAAATCCCTTTGAGCTGGAGTTACAGCTGCTTGTGAGACCCCAGATGTGGGTACAGGGAATTGAACTCCAGTCCTCTGAAAGAGCAGCAAGTGGTCTTAACCAATAAGGCATCTCTGCCACACCTTTTAAGACTTAAAAAGTTTTTTTTTTAAAGTCACAGATGAAAACCTTAGTGTACTTACTAGGATAGTAGGATAAGTTAGTATAGTTTGGGTAGGTGTACTACTACATAGGTTTGTGTCGAGATATACACCAAAACCTAGTAATGACTTGCCCAGAAACTCCCACTTTCTTTCCATCCATTTATCTACCAAATCCTCAGTGGTTTTGTGGTGCTTCTGGGGTTTCTATTGTTGTGTGAGTTGAAGTTAAAACTTTGTGTTTACTTTCCTGATTTCCACCACAAATGAGGTAGGATTCACCACAGGAGTTTCTAGCAACTTGGGCCTTTACCGATGCTCTACTGTATTTGTTCTATGAATGTTTTATCAGTGTGTGACAATTGTACAAAATAATGGGCATCATTTTCATACATGAATGTTACATATTCTGATTATATTCATCCCCTATTATCCCATTTCTTGATCCCATTTCTTTCCATAGTATTTCCTCTTTTATTTAGAGTCCACATATGAGAGAAAAATTCAGCCTTTTGTGTCTCACTTATTTCTCTTGCTTGTGTTGAACTCCTGCTGCTGTGATACATAAGCCCAAATAGGAAGAATTTATCCAGATTATGATTTTGTTCACCATGGTGGGGGAGGATCTAGAGGAGCACTATAGCTTACTTCAGGGCACCCAGGAAGTGAGGGTATGGGGAAGAAAGCCTGTGCTCTAGTAATACAGTTGTCATAGTTATTTTAGTTAGGGTTATCATTGTTGTGATGACACACCATGACTAAAAGCAACTTGGGGAGGAAATGGTTTATTTGACTTACTGGTTACATCCCGTATCAAAGAAAGCCAAGGCAGGAACTTGGAGACATGGAAATCTGGCTTTCTGCTGACATTGCTTTCTTCCTTTCTTCTTTTCTTTCTTTCTTTCTTTTTTTTTTTCATTTTTTAAGTACAGGGCCTCACTATGTATTTCTAGCTGTCCAGAAACTGAAACTCACTATGTAGACCAGGTTGGCCTCAAACTCACAAAGGTCCTTCTTCGTCTGCCTCCTGAGTGCTGAGATTAAAATCATGTGCTGCCATACTTGGGTCAGTTTGCTTTCTTATACAATCCAGAACCACCTGCCCAGGGTGGTCCATACTGGGCTGGGCTCTCACATCAAACATTAATCAAGAAAGTGCCCTGTAGATAGGCCCACAGGCCAACCTGATGGAGACAGTTCTTCAGCTGAGGTTGCCTCTTTCCAAGTTTGTGTCAGCCAAACCAAGCACAATGTACAAATTTTGACTCAGTACTACCCTCAAAACTGCTATAAGCACACCGGGTGTAGTCTAAGTAGTCACTAATCACCACTGTCTGAGTTTATTTTTTGCTCAGCACTGCTTTTTTTCCAGAAAGGCATTTTGATCTCCAAATTGTCTTAATGCAGAATCCAGAGGTGATTTGGGAAGTTTCACCACTGGGTGGTTCAGCATCTTTCTGCTCTTCATTATTTTTGCCATTTTCATTAGTTTCATACACATAAAATGTTCTGTGATCATCGTCACTCCCCATCAATGTCTTTATCCACCTCACACCCTCATGACCCTCCCCATCTCTTCCCCAACTGGTCCCACACCTACTTTCAGATCCCGTTTTTTCTTGGCACAGATCCTGTGCATGTAGCCGCAGCTGTGAGTGTTCCTGATTGCAATAGCTGCCCCATTATTGGAAAACAATGTTTCTTAGTACTCCTCTCTGTCTTCTGTTCTGCCCCTTCTTTTGTGATGTTCCTTGGAAATCCAAGCCAGCAGGGAGTATTATCCCCCTACACAGAAGGGGAAAGTAAATAATTGGGACAGTAATGCAATCTACTGGAAATGTTTACTAATCGTAGGGAGTTATGCGCCAGGTGGTGGCGGCACACACCTGTAATCCCAGCACTCAGGAGGCAGAGGCAGGCAGGATCTCTGTGAGTTTCAGGCCAGCCTGCTTTAAAGAGTGAGTTCCAGGACAGTCAGAGCTGTTACACAGAGAAACCCTGTCTCAAAAACCCAAAAAGAAGACAAAACAAGAAGTAGGAAGTTATGGAAGATAATAGCTATGTGCTTATACGGGAGACTAAACTTGAGAAATACTAGAAGTATTTGGCAAGGTAAACGCAGGTTGCCAGAAAAGACAAAAGTGGCAGAATGTTAACCATTATTGATTCTAGTGGTTGCTATAAGAACATAAATTGTATTCATTTCTCACCTTCTCTATATGTACATATAGAGAAATTATGCCCCTTCCTGCCAAAATACTCTAAAATCTAAACAGACATCCTGTGCCTGTAACTTTATCTCATCCATTTTTAAGGATCCGCTCAGTGCTGTGAACTAGTCACATTGCACACACAAGCTCATGCACTGTGCACATCACCCTCAGAGGGTGGGGCCTCCAGTTTTGGTATGCGGCTTCTGTCTTTGGTGGCTACAGCTCTGATCATTGCATCTCAATTCCAGACAGACAGAAGAAAGGAAAAGGGCAGGCAAAGGCCATACCTCCCGATGAATCATTTCTCTTTATGGGTTTTTTACTAAAGCCGGACAAATTCTGCTTACTTATTTCTGGTCTTTCTTATCTTCAGAAGACGCTAGGACATGCAGTTCTTTTAGTCTGGCGCCTGGCTGTCACCAACAATGGAATTTTTTTCTGAAGTTTTTTTAATGCCAACATGTTTCTTTTTTGTTATATTTCTATTTCTGAGACTCTTCCATTCAGAAACCACCTCTTCATTAAGATTTGGCTGATTTTCCCTTGACCTAAGCATATTTTGAGAAAACTGTAGTTTATCGAATTTATTATAAAAATTAGCTATTTGTTCTGACATTGCTGT